TAACATTTTATTTAATTTTTTCAGTAAAAAGTTTATCTCGAAATTAGGGGAATCCCGGATTTGCTATTTTTTTATCAGGGCTCATGCTGACTCCGTATTCTTTGTGTGATCGTTTTGACAATTGTGATCGTTTTGAAACTGCAAATGGTAGCAAAGAAAAGTTTATTGTAAATGAAATTGTCATTAGTGTTGGATAAATACTTAAGTGCCCAGCATATTTTGTCGTCAGGACGACGTGCAAATATTATAAGTCATACTTGCCATCTAAAAATCCAACATAATTCCAATAAATAAAATAAAAATTGTCACTAAAATTGAATAAAATTGATAATAAAAAAATGTCAATTACTATTACAGAAAGTTTATACAGGAATATTTTTTTTCCAGTGCAAAAATTTTTTTTGGTGGTTCAGTATCAGTAATAGAACACTTTTCCATAATTAGTTAAAAAATTTTTTTTTAATATTTTTATCCCTATCGAAACGGTAGAATATGGACACATTTTTTAAAATAAAACTTCAATGAAAACGTCTTCTCTTGCGTATGCCACCGTGCAACCCCGCCGCGCCCGGTAGCCCCCCGCCACAGCCCCCACCGCCCCGCCGGGACCGAGCGACGCGCGCGACAGTGAGACTCACACGCACGCGCTGATGTGACGTGCCCTCGCGTTCCCGCGCACGCGACGCGCCCGCCGTCGTGAGTTTTACGAGATGTACGAGTTTATCTTCTGAGTGGTGAGAACCTACATAAGCGCAATTCGGAGAAAGTATGCGACGAAGAGCATACCTCGTATGCGGGCCTTTGGGATCCGTAACCCCGCGGTCCCTAATGCTTCGAACCATTTTAACAGACGAAGTCCCAGAGTCAGTACCCACGATGCGGCATATCTCTTTGGTGTGAGCCAGCCTGCGGTATTGAAGCTGCTAAAAACAGCCGGACTCCATCCGTACCACTTTCAGCCGGTTCAGCAGTTCCATGACCTAGACCCAATACCACGTCGAGCCTTATGTGAGTGGCTTCTACATCACCGCGATGTAAACATCTTGTAGACGGATGAGGCATTGTTCACAAGTGAGGGACTGTTTCTTATGGGAAGAAGTCAAACGCCGAGATGTAGAGGAGGCACAAAGTCTAGAAGACAACAATAAAAAATAATAACGCTTTCAGTGAAGTGAAAAGTGACACTAGTGTTTTAAACAAATTAAATGACAATTTAATGAAATGTGCACGTTTATGTCTGGACAGACGTGGACTTCATTTTGAACAAATATTAAAATACATGGTAAGTAATTAGTTAGGTATTTGTTTTGATTCAACATTATTGTAAATACGTAGTTGATTCTAATTTTTTTAAATACGCCTTAACGCAGAAGTACCTATGTAACTTCGGCATAACGTTAATATTTTTTTCTAGGTAACGAATTTGTTTCTCTTTTATTTTTTTGCATTTTGATGGCCTTAACCATAAAAGTATGAAGGGAAAATTGGAATTACTCTTAGAAAACACCTCAGATCATGGCATAAAATCTAGTTCGAATCTAACAAAATGAGCGTTCAGTGACCCGTGTAGATAGGTACCTACGAGTACATGCCTACGGCGGCGTCGAGCGAGCGCTCAGCTGACGCACGGCGCGCGGTGTCCATAAATGAAGTTTTAAAATCTCGATCTTTGATAAGCGATAACTTTATTTTTTAGTATTAGAACATATCAAAATAAAAAATACGTGTTTATTTAAATTACTTAAAGTTTATTTTCACAAAATCTTCGCAGTGGTTTTAAATTATTCCTGTATACCTACTATACAGGGAGCAACAAAATGACCGACACAGCCGAAAGTTTCAAGTTAGGTTATATGCAAACGTTCATTTTATTTGACAAATATTTCAAAATAGAGGACGTGTAAAAATGGAGTAAAAATTTTAAATTTCTAAGTGTCGAGAGCCCTATAACGCGCATGCGCAATATCCGCGACCGCGAAATACATTGATTTAATTATTTACCGATATCTTAATGATAGTCGATGCTGAAAATGTCCAATTCTTCTCTGAAGACAGCTAAGCACGCTCTTTTACGCCAGTGCATGCACGCGCAAAACACATTACATTTCACACAAAACTAAACACAATCTACACTAAACTAAACTTAACACTCAAGACGAACACTGTAGTATCTTATTAACAAAAATTTTATTAAAAATGCACTAGAACAAAACAAAAATCGACAAAAAGTCGCTCCGCAGCGGTACGGTGGCAGCGATACAGTAACGTGCCTCACGCGCAAATGTCCGGCGGTGAATGAAACAACGGCGCCGACGCCGACAGAACAAAAAAAGTCGCACGCACGGTGAGTGAATGAGTGAATGGAGCTCGATTCGCTTTGCATTTGATAAAAAGGGACGAGTTCAGTTTATATATTTTTCGAATTCGTATTTTGTTATTGTTTTTGAATTTTCTTCTTAAATACATTTTAAATAAGTAACCAAACCCTTACTTAGTGTTTTAACAAAAAGTACATTTGTGATAATGGTTCATTATTATCACAAATGTACTTAATGTTAATGGATGATGTATTAGTTTAACTACTTTAATAAATGATCGTGTTATTTGATCCATTTAGTTACAATTTTTTGGAAACCGACTATTTGAAATAATGTAGTAACGTAATGTTAATTAGTTAACATTAGAATAATCTTTTTACAATGATTTATTAAATGTTAGTCTATTAATTAATTTCAGCATTTTGACTGATTCGTTTAGTGATAGTCAATTTGAAATTGCTAATAAACAGTTAACTAACATTACTTAGTTTTCGTTTGCAATTAGTTTTTTGATGATCAGTTGATAGCAGTTTGATAAAACTAGGACTATTTCACTTGTGAAATTAAAAAAACGTAGGTTATTGAGAATAAGCAGTAGAGATGTTCTACTTTTTTCAAATCAGAAACCGGCTGTTAGTCTGTCAATCGATTTAAGCATTTTGACTGCCTTGTTTAGTGATTGTCTGGTAGAATTTGCATGAAAGCGGTCTTATAAAACATAAACTAGTTTATAACTAGTCAATGACCGATTAAAAACTTGTTCCTTAGTACGTCCCCAAAACAGCTGACTCAGGGTTGTAACACTCATTTTTTTCCAAAAACTTTGTAATTAAAAATTTCCGAAACTTTTTGACCTAGACATATATTTTTTTACATCATATTAAAGACAAATAGTTCTCTCCAGGAACCTCGGGAGTGTCGGTCGTTCTGTTCCACCCAGTATATAAATTATGAAAATGTTAGAAATATAAATTTACGATTACATGTCATACATTTATTGCATTTTTATCTGTTCTGTGTATTACATAATATAATTTATCAATAAAAAATCAAACAAATGCTTTCTGAATTAAGTCAATGTCAGTGTTTTTATCTGATTAGGTTGATGATTTTTATATACGGATTGCCATACTGTTCTCATTTTTTGACGTTATTACAAGTCTTTGAGTAGGAATGCGTAAGTCATCTCCTTTTCTACCTCTATAAACAAATTCCTTGTTTTGTTTAAACATATGGTATATTTTTTAACAAACACTGCCATTTCAAATATGTATAAACATGGGAGTGGCAAAATTTTCAAAGATTTAAATAAAACATGAGTCTAAATAACTTGCACCACAAATAGATCTTATACATTTTTTTTAATCATTAAAACTGATCGCATCCACTGAAATGCCCCACAATATGAGACCATAACGCATCACAGAAGAAACATAATAGTATAAGATCCGAACCTAAATCGACCTTCACCGGGTTGATAATGGAATAAAACTTATTGTATAATTAATTTAGTATATTAGAAAATATATTAAAAATGGGTTCGCTAAAGAAATCCTGGACAGAATATTTTTAATTATTTAAAAAAAAATTTTTTTATTAAATGTTGCAACATCAAGATAATAAGAAAAATTTAATTCTGACTTGAAGTATTAAAACAATTAGAATGTGCAGACGTTGGGTTGTCTATTATTTACCTGGACGAAATACTGGGTTGTCAGGTATAAACAGGTATATCGATGCCAGTTAATTTCACTTGATTTGATAATAAAAAAAAAATTATATCAACATAAGCGCTGTTTCATTACGAACACATTGATATAGGGTTGTCTGCAAAAAATTCGGTCCTAATACGGGTTTGCGAATTATAAAAATTAATAACCATGATATGCCATGATGGCGGGATGACAGTAACTACCATTAGGACAAACTGTAAACAATTTAACGTCAAACTTCATTGAAAAGTGAAGTATTGTGAATTGTACCGTCAACAGCACATCAGGCTATATAAATCTTGTCAAATTTCTCCACATGATTTTAGACAAAAATGTCTTGTTCGTAGAGGTTGAAATCAACTGGAGAAATTGGACATAATTATGATTACCTTTTTTTATGCGCCGATTGTGGTAACCTGACGTGCAGCCGTAGTACAAATAATATATTATTCGGATTTATAATAAAAACGAGTGTATTTATAATAGCTCTTTTGAATGTAAGAATGTAGGAAATCATTTATTTCCAGAAAAAGGACTAAGCAGCGGGGTGTTTCTTCGGAAATTCAACTTCTGGTTGATACATCCGTCATTGTCGTTCTTCAAACATAATGGATCATGACTGATATTTTTTAATTTTAAAATCTATATAGAATCGAATATCGTAGCAGACTGATGTCACCGATTTTATTTTAATTATATAAATCACATTTAATTATTTTTGAAGAACAATAATGACTGATGTATCAAAGCGGTTCATCTTCCAAAGTAACACCCAGCGGCAGTGCATTGTCTTTACAACTTCTTTACTTTCTAGCAAAAATACACTATTTATCTGAAAATTTCATTTAAAAGTCTAAATTCTTCAAGCAAGATTTATGATATCTTCTAGAATAATCTTAACTTTATCATTTAAGGCAACCTACATTTTTTCTCTGAAAATAACATAAAATCTTTTAACTTTTGGCCATAGAATGCCTAAGGCTGCGTTCACACCAAACTGACCGTCAGCTACGGACTGTGAGCGAGAGCTATGCAGGTGATTGCATTTACATTCATGATCATCTTTTCGTTCACACCAAAATGACAATACAATACAGGATATGATCAAATACGAAACAAAATTTTAACATTTCCTTAAACAAATCTAATGTTTTGATCAAATCACTAGATTTGCTTAGGAAAATGCTAAAACGAGTTGTTATTTTAACATTCATCCTTTAAGGATTTGATCAAATTTCTGTTTTTATGCTTGGGACATAAACATTTTTATCGTTTCTATTAGCCTTTCAACTATCGATGTTTATTTTTTTTTTCAAGAGGTTTTTTCATCTCATTTTTTTTTCAAGCCTTCTTATACTTTCTTTGTATGCTAAGAAGAAGTAATTTATTGTATACTTGAGAAAAGTAATTATTTCCAGCAAATATTTTAATCAATAGACGACAATTGAATGGAGGACTTTCAAAAGTACTAATAATAATAGTGGTCTTACTTCCTTCAAGTTCTTGTTTGTTTGTTCATGTTAAAAATATTTGTTTAAGTCATGACATTTTCTCAAGTAAATACTTCTCTCAATTGTAGATATGAGTGTTAGATAAGTTATTTACAAATACATTTAAGCTAAGCCATGTGTTACTTAATTATCGCCTCACAGGAAAACTTGTCTCCATTTCAGAAAAGTAACCACTAGACTGCATATTTATTTCCTACCTATAAATTTAAATTGTTTTTAATATGACGTAATTTATACATGACCCTTTATATATCTGACAACGCGCTATATGCGGCGTAAACTGTTCAGTCTTGAGGCTTATTTATATTGATCGATACACCTATGTTAGACCAATCAGAATTAAGAAATCCGATATAAATGAGCCAATCTTTGTTTAGAAAAAATCTTAAGTAGATAATTTTTTGAGCTGCTATAGAAGTTGTGAAAAGTAGTATGTTTTCAGATCGTGATAAAAGGTCTAGCTCCCGATCGGGGAGAAGAGAATCCGAAAAAACTAGTAAAAGAACAAACAGTGCTTCGGAGAGGTACTGGAACAACAGCAGAGAGGAGGAGGCGCTCGACCGAACTAGACCAAAACATTCGGTTCTAGCGCACGATGGCAAAGGTTCTCACCACCCCGTTTTAAGGCACATTTGTATTGGTAGATATTACTGCATGCCACTAACCCTCGAAGGCGGTACAAATTTTACGCTATTGATTAAATAAAAGTTCTTTAATTTGCTTTTTTTTAAATTAAAACTGGCTTAATTTTTTTTTTATTTTATCAGAAGTGCATATAAAATTATAAGCAACAAACACTATGCTATTGACTCTTAATAGTCGTTGTCCTCCTGCGTTCGAGATATCACCACAATTCTCTACATAGAGCAGTTTGTATCGCCCAATAAAGATGAGTAGAGTCGCAATATACTTGTATTTAATAATAATAATAAATAACAGACAACATCACATATATTGCTCAAATCTGAGACAAAGAAGGTACCAATCATATTTACCAACTTCTTGAAATATCTAGATAATAGAAATGTTGAATTATTAATTTTTCTAACATTATTATGGTGCCTATCGCTTCTTTGTGATTATTATTTATTATTATAATTTGTGATATTGCAAAAAAATATTTATAAGCTTTAATATATGTAAGTATAACCCACAGAATATATAACCCACTATACAAATTCCAGCCATGTTATTTATTATCAATTTCTTTGAAAACGGTTTAATGTTACGTTTAAGTAAAAACATTAAATCATCCTCTTTGATTGAATTTGACGTTTCATGTCAGTAATTTTTCTTACAGTATGTCGCCATCTATATCTTTATAATTTTTAATACTTCTTAGTTGTAATTATTTTTATATATATCGTTATAGATGGCCAATCATTACAAGACATGGACATATCTCCAGACCGGAGTACACCGCTGTCGGAGAACTCCTATGGTGCAAGAGACACTAATTCCACAATACGAAATAATTCAGAAAACAATTCAGTACCTCCTGTTGTGGTCCTTGACAATTCAAATCAACCGGTATGTGTAAATTACTAATATATTTATTTATTTATTTAATACTTTATGCACTAAAGTACAAAGGCGGACTTAATGCCTTAGGCATTCTCTGCCAGTCAACCTAATATAATGAGGAAAGGTTCGGTTGTTTGTTTGTTTGCATCGAAAAGACTCCGAAACTACTGGATTTTTTTATTTTGTTACGATTTTAAATATTCTTTCGTCTATGGGGAGCTACATCTATCAAATACTCATGACTTGTGATGGAGCAATATTGATGTCGAATGTATAATCCGTTCATTCTCACTAGTTCAACCGGTTGAACAATATAATGAGATTTTTATTCTTAGTAATTCGCCCTCAGATAAAAGCTTCTATTGAAAAAACAAAAACATAAAAATATAGCAAACGACTTGTTTAAAGTTTACTTTGTATTTTTACGAGTGCAACATTACTGTCCGTGAAAAAGTTGCCTCTGTTTATTAGACGTAAAAGTAGTGCATAACTGTTATTCGATTTACATGTGAATATTAGTTTATGCATACTACAATAAATAATAAAATTAAATCAGAGTGGGTCGTTATTGGCGGCGGCGCTGCCTCGCATCGTGGCGGCGCCTGTAGTGATGCCAGCTAACAACGGCGCGAGTATGTCGCCGGGCGCGGGGGCGTGCGCGGGCGCGGGCGCGGTGGCGGTAGCGGGCGCGGGAGCGGGCAGCGGAGACACGACGCCGCACCGTGACGCCGGACCGCCCACGCCCACACATTCAGAGAACGTGGACCCGCACGCCCCGCCCCTACATCTAGACCAGGCGCTGCCCAGGAAGAGTGAGTACACTATAGTCCGTTTACCATAGCATGGGTACGGTGAAGTTTGTTAACAAATCCATTTCAGACAATTTATATTTCCAAATAATAAGGTACCTAAGTTATAAAAATAGTTTGACTCTTTATATATAAGTTGTTTATTTAAATTTGCATATAAAACACAGTCAATTTTTATCAGTCATAATCACTGAAATCTAATCCTCGAAAGTTTAAAACATAAATACTTGTAACGAAAATTGGAATATTTGTTTTTATTGAATTTATAAAATGGTTTTGATCGAAATATGTATTCGGTAATCGATTGTCAATTATTGTTGTCTTAACAGTTAAACTTAACTATAATAAGATTTTACATTTTTCTGATAGGGGTTATCTTGTTGATGAAAAATGTTTAAATCCTTTTTTATATATTGACCTCAAAATCGATTATGCTCAATTGCTCAGATCACACAACTATGTAACGCGGCGACAGGTAGCTCTCAGAGATACTAAAATTAGCTACCTAAAAAAACAAAAATACTCATGACTTTTTAGTTGAACAAATAATTAGTAGTATGGGTGTAGACGGTAACTGAAAATATATATATTTTTTCTGGTAATGTTTTATATACTGTTACCAATAATCACACTTTTATGCTTATTATATTTATATCAATACTATGGCTTAAGCTAATTATGAAATATAGAATTAAAACTCTATTATTATTCCTAAAGTCTGGAATCCATTTTGAGTCGAGCACCATCCTTTTTGTGACGTTTACGGTCCAAAACACTACCTCTCCTCTTACTTATACTTCCTTATACCAGAACTTGAGGATTCAACCTGATGCATACATAGAACGATACTCGTTTTAGAGTGCCATGACGTTATAGCGACGCCATGTGAAATTATGAAAATTAAAATTATTTTTAGATTATAACTTATTATTTAAATTATATATTTTTTATATATTTCATGTATATCTCTAAAATAAATATGTAAAAAGTTGTCAACACCCCTATTGCTTTAAGTTTTGCCTCTACCAGAGAAGGCTTACTTATTTTTCTGATAACGAATTTTCGTCTATTTGCAAAACACTAATATAACTCCGAAGAACCCTTCTGACCTACTAAACTCTCATACGTTTTCGTTACTCTCAGTCCATAAATCGTAGTTCGCTCACAGACTGTGGGTGTAAAATAAAGCAGAGGCTAACAAGTCCATGTATTTGACGGTCGAAATTGTTTGGACAGTGGAATGCCTGGGCAGTTACTCGTCAGTGGTGGGCGGGACGCTGCATCACGCGCCGCCCATGCTGACGCCCTCATTGGTCAACTACATGCGTACTGACCTTACCGCCCACGTCAATGGCTGGCCTGCCGATATATTGGAAAAACAGGTGATTTTATAATGTTTTATTATGAGAATCTTTATGTTAACGCCATTAGTACACTTACGTGGTCGCGCGCCAATGCGAAACATTGCGATTTTTTTTCAGTTTAGTAGTTGTTATTCTTTTTATACGGGTGTACATGTACATAGTAAACGGAAATAAATACATAAAAAAAAACTGGTAGTTTTTTACTATACTATTACCGATAATAACACTTTCATGCTTAATATATTTATAATATTGGTTAAACTAATTATGAATACTTTATACAAATATTTTTATGCTCCTTAAAATATTTGTTTTACACCCCTCTTACCCTTATCATAATTCAGAGAATTAAATCTTATGTCTACATTGAACGATATTAGTTTTGCGAGGACGTCTGTCATGGCGTTGCATAGCGACGTCATGACAACAGTTATTTCAAGATTTTATGTTTAATTATAATAATTATACTTTTTTAGATATATTAAACGTATATGTATAAATTAAAAATATATTTAAAAAAAAATGTCTACACTATTATTGAGCAGGCCAACAAGTTCACCGAGGAGGCGTATCAGCTGGGATGCCTGCAATGCACGCGGGTCTCCGCCGAGTTGAAGTGCTCGCGATCACTCGTCCGCCACACAGAGATACAAGCAACATTACAGGAACAAAAGTAACACTTTTCATATGCATATATCACTATAGTCAGTTTCACAAAGCATGGATATGGTGACGTTTGTTTACAAATCCATTTCAATGATTAGAAACCATTATTATAGAAAATAGTTGTACCGTGTATACAGGGTGTCCCAGAACTCAACGTCAAGCCGAAACGGAGTGACAGGATTGATTGTAAATCCATGCGAAAAATGAGAAAAAAATCTCCTTCCCATGCAGTTTGAAAATTATGGGCATTTAAGAAAAACCTAGAAATTCGGGCAAACTGTAACCATTTTTCGGTTATTGTAGTTAATTTTTATTATTTTTGTTCATTTAAACTTATGAACCGTAACCCTTAATAACTTTACTAGAATCACACTCTAGTATTATTACTAATGATAATTATATAATAAGGAACATAACATTATTTAATGCGTAGAGGTGGGCGTTAATAGTTGCACTTCAGTTTTTTAACTATCGCGGCTCCTGTCGTACACAATACTTTTGTTGATCATTTTGTTCTAATAAATTTATTTTTATTTTATATATTAATTTAAATAGGGATTGAATCATTAAAATTGTTTCAATGTAATTATGTCTTCAATTTATATTTTTTTTATTGTTGTCGTAATGTTGTGATTTTTCTGACTCAGATTCATCTTATTATGAGTAAGCGTTTTTCTTAAATCCTATTTTTCCTGGTTCGATTTCCAGTAAATTGGATTTTGAATTAAAATAATGTTTTCTTTCAGTAAAATGTTCCATCTACAATAGTTAAGGTACTTTCTCTTCATGTGGCATAGTCGTGCGACGCCCTGTATAATTTTTACTCGTATAATTTTTAATACTATATCACTAAAAACTTCAAATTCCACTCATCATCATACCCATGCTATATATGAAAAAAACTATAACAAAGTTCTTATCATACGGTTAAGATGCTATAATATTTCATCTTAAGATATCTTAAAATTACATATTTTAACATCTTAAGTTATCACACGCTATATATATTGCCGTATCACTTGGCATCTTAAGATAATCAATATGAAAATACTATCTTAGCCGTGTGTATTAGGCCAATGGAATATAAATGATGAGCTATATTTTATCTTATTATTTAACATCTTAATCGTCTGTTACGACCTTTGCTAATGGAGGGCCATCGCAAAAAATACCCTCAACACACCTCCCGAATGAAAATAGTATTGACGGAAAGATTTTTATATGTACCATACCAACCATATTTTTGGCATTATACAGGATAATGTACCTGCGACAGCAGATCTCGCGGCTGGAGGAGCTCAAGTCCCAGAACTCGTTCATGTCGGACGACTAACCGCGCTCTGCATTACCCACCCCTAACGGGTTCACTTCACCCGCATCAATGCTAAACGTTGTTCATTCCGTTCTTTTTTTTCTGTGTAATTTAGATCGAATGATTACTGTTGTGTTGTGTGATTTGATGTTAAACTAAGCTTTCATCCTCGTGAAATTCAAATTGAATCCGAGTATTTTCTGACAAAATTCTATATAGAATGCAAATTAATAATTTGAGTTGAGAGTGTATATTGTAAGAAAATGATCGTTGTAGATAAATAAGTTGATAGCGGCGTGACGAGTTCGCACTGTCCCGCGTCCGTAACGTGCCCGCCGCCGTGCCTCCACCCTCCCCTCATACTACAGGCATCGCGCGGCAAAGATGTTTCCTATCATATTTATATTCAGCAATGACAGAGATGATTTATAGTGATAGTTTTCATTGGTCAGTTGTAAGGGTACAGTGTTTTGTAATGTATTTAAAGAATTAAATTATTAAATAATACTTTCATATATTTCGTTTTTGTATAATTCTAATGTAAGCCACTCCCTTTAGAGTCAGTAGTTTAAGTGCTAATACAATGAAATGTTCAAATATAATGTCGATAGTTCATTTTTTCAATTTTTTTTTATAGAGCTGCACGTATAGATATTTATCTCGGGAAAGTTTGTGTCTACATCCGAATTTCACTTTTCTAGGGTGTTCCCATACAATATTTCACTCGTCCCGAGAAAAGTGGAATTTGGTATTGACATTGCGTGTAGCTTTAAGAGTATCGGAAACCGATTCAAATAACATTTTTATACTTTGACTAGTTCTATAGTAAATAATATTATAAAATAAGCGTTTTGTCGTATATGAATAAGACGGGACAGTTATAAGAATATTACTTTATTTGAGTCTATATCAATGATACAATAATCAATATTACTTATATATTATTTTGATTAATGTTTGTGTTGCGTCCACATTATTACTATTATAAATCTAAGTAGTCTTTAATTTGAATATAGATGAACTACTGACACTAAAGGATCAACTTCCGTCGTGTTTGACTGGTATATAAATAGGTCACATGGTCTTAAAACGACTTTGTCGGCTAGAACATCTTCATTTTCGACCAATCATTATGTAAACTTTGTAAAGAACAGGTATTTTTAATATTATTATTATTATAGTAACCGCAACTTCATGTAGTTACATTAGTTGATTTTATTAAAAAATCATATAAGCTTAATAATTAATATGAATCACAATATTTTGCATGCTTGCTGATTTTGAGAGTGCAACACGAAAGAAGCCAAGGAAGTAATATTAGCGAATGAGTAGTTAGATAAAACCAGCTCCGGTCTAGGTATTTTTCTTTTTTTTTTATGTTAAGGCTAACAATTAAAATGCTGAAATTGGACACCAACCTGTATAAATTAACTGAAATAAGTACTGTGATATTCATTCACTTTCACACCTAATAATAAATTATATATTATGTAGGTCTGTGTGGAGTAATAAATGTAATATTATTTAGATGCACGCTGTTTATAATTACACTTTATTTATATTATTTAGGGCCCATTGAAGCAGGACTCCGAAGTCAAATATGTGTGTGAATGTTGCCATGAGGCGTATTCATGTTGCAGCGTGTTAGTGTGAGCTGGGGCCTGCATTTGCCCGCCGTAAACTTAGTGTAGTGAATATTCGAGGTTAATTAAATATCGCGACCGCGCTCGTCGCCTCCACACAGAGCTCGCTATTGTAACATTTTCTTTTCATGTTCTACATAACTTCGTAATTTTGTTTTCTTACATTGTTCGAAATACGAAGTTCAACCAGTTTAAATAAATAAATCAGTTTCAAATAAATTTTTATTGGTATTAATAATTCTTACCCTTTCTTAACATTGACGAAATTAGCTTTATGAAATCAGTCATCTACAATAATTGAGTTTTTTTTTGTTTATACTACGCATCATAAAGTATTATAGTCTTTAACATTATGCGTTTGTATGTATTGTTTTAATGTTCATCTGTTGTATATTATGAATGCTGTAATGGAAAAATCCATTTATGACCGGATTGAATTCTTTAAAATAATGCTATAAATATCATATATATGTTATGTAATCGTATTATGCTTGCAGAGCTTCCAAAGACGGGCACCAAGCCTATTAAAACTCGTTACAAAATTTAGACTATACTTCATCGAGACCATTTTACAATCTGTCGTACTGGTTTTGGATAGATAAGCGCTCTCTGTGATTCAAGAGAAAAGAAAAATAAAAATGTATGCCACACGAGCCTAAACCCGTCCACACTATCCGATGTTCAAACTTATCGATTTGAGTTTTAAACGAAATTTGATTCAAAGTCACTTTTAAAGCATAATATATTTATATTTACGCATTAATTGCAGCTATAATGGCATATAAAAGATAACATTATAAAATTATATACTAAAAATAATTCTCAAATGAAACTAGTATTATTTAGTTTTTATTAATATAAAGATTTCTAAAAACATTTTGGTTTTGCCGGTTAATAAATTACCCGTTTGTCAATATTTCGTGACAAGTGTAAGATCAAACCAAAATGACAATCGCAGTTTAGATATCAGATCGACTCTAAAACGATACGTATGTACACACAAAGTTGAGCAAGTAGTACTAGCACGTGGTTATCACTTTTCTATTAAAACATCAATACATTAAAATATAAAATATGCTATTATCGATTCCCAAATAATTTACTTGTCTCGTGAGAGTTAGCATGAATTAAAATTAACAGGTATTCGAAATCATATTAAAACTACAGCTGATTATAAGTTACCTATATTAAGCTATTCAAAGTTATGAGATAGCATTAAATGATTTTGTAAAATATCTAATTACCTATATAAGACATTAATGTTATATGAATCTAATAGATAAGATTTTCTACAAGCAATTAACGATTAAAGTCGTGGTTATGTACAAATAGTACAAAAATGTTGTGATTATAAATAATACTATTTATCGCAACAATATTGGATTAGGTATGATATAGATAGAAAATTCAAACAATACCAATTTTAAACGTCAGAAGTTTATTTTATTTAATATCTAAGAATTTATTTCAAGATTATGTGAGTGGGGTTTTGTCCCTGTCGCTCACTTGTAATGCTTATGGCTTATAGATTTTGACGTCACTGTTATAGATTATTTATACCTTTGTTTAATTAAGTGTTTATGTCCGAATAAATCATTGAAATACTTTATGTATTCTTTCCAATTCGATTTAACTTGAGACCATTAATTGATGCGATAAAATAATCATACATATTTGCTACAAAGAGATTAAAATGTCGGTAATAAACTTTCCTATGAATTGTGAATCAACGTCACAATAATATCTGAGGCAAAGATTACAATGATATACTTGATAATAGTGCTTAGTCAGTGATCTGCGTAAGAAGAGCAGTGCCGCGAATGATCCAGAAATCCGAAACTTGATTAGTGGGTAGAAGCACAGGTAGCACAAAGTTTGTGCTGTGACCAGTGGTGGACAGAGTGCCAGCGCGTTCGGATGTCTTGTACAAGGGTGCTTCGTATCGAGGATCTGGCTTGGGCAGCTCCAGCACTGGTTGGAACCAGATCACAGGCAAGGGCGGGTTCATTTGCCCTGTATATTATTTAAAAGTTTAACAGTGTAATACTTCTATTCTTATAGTAGGGGAGCCCACGATGCTAAATCGGGATTTACTCGAGCGTCATAGAGACCTAGTGGGTTGCGAAGCTTAGATGATAACAAAAAAAAAAAATCATATAATATATACCTTTTCATCGGTGGGGGAAGCGGCTATAGATTTTTAAAAATGTAAAAAAAAACTGTTGTATGGACATACTCGAGCGCGTCAGATATTAATATCATCCATATCCTACGCATTTTTAAAAACTGTCGTATGTTAATCTGATCGTTTCCATGATGGGGGTGGTTATACGTAAGGGTTGAAAATGAAAAAAAAAATATTTAATCGAGCGCGTCAGATTTTTTGAGGGGGATGTCAAGTGAACCTAAAAAAAAGCTCTCATATAATAATCTGACGATTTGGATGTGACGCAAACGCGTGACCATTATTAGAATGTGCAAAAAAAATTGCCATTTTGAAATACTTAAGCGCGTCAGATTAAGATATATATGGTTCATCTTTATGCCCCAGACGTGATATCTCATAATGTGACGATTATCTGAAGGGATTTACTTAAACTGACACTAAAAACTTTTTTTTTAATTTTTTTCATGCTAATAAAGAAGTGTATGTTTTTTTATGTAAATTACTTATATTTATAATAAAATGATTATATGAAAATTTAAATTTTACAGTATTTTTTATTAATTACCATCTACATCGCTAGAATCATCTTCCTCTTCTTCTCTTAATAAATATGTAAAAAGTTTAATTCAAAATAACAAAATAAGCAAAAACGTTGGAAATACGATGTAAACAATATCACGCCACGAACGAGTCTGTGTTATCAGCTGTCATGGCGTCATGGCAACCGAAACCAGAGTGGGGATGGAATGAGAGAGTAATAGACAGAAAAAGAGAGAGAAATAGTGATGCGGAGAAGGAAATATAGGTATCACGTAGCTTAAACGCATTAAATCTTATCGATGAATTTTTATTACTTCGGCTTGTGACAATCGTCAGATTATATATTTTTCGTAATCCTTGAATGATTCCCTTCAAAATAAAAAAAAAAATTAGCCACGCTCGAGAATGTTAAAGTGACTTTTTTTTACAACTTTGTAGCCTTCCCCCTTCTTTACGTCACTCTCAAATTGTCAGATTAGAGGTATCTACACCTTTAAGCATGTAACTAGCTCACCTAACCTTAATCTAACGCGCTCGAGATTTTCAGATGATCAATTTTTTTTTACTAATCTGATCCTTCGTCCTTGCCGGGCGGCCATTTTTATAGGGCTCATACTTGGTCCAGGTACTTAACTGGGTACAAGGTATCCCCCTGTATATTAATCTGCCGCGCTTTAGTAAATCCCGAAATCCCCGCTTCGGCTCCCCTACTATTAGGGCGCCGACCGAATGCAACTATTAGCTTGCGCGACGTGATATTTTCTAGTTTGTATGATTCGCCACCGCCACCGCCACTGCGCACGCTTAGAGCTGTTACTACTAATAATTAAAGGTTAAAGTAAGAGCTAAAATGACTGCTGAAGATTTTTGAAGAAATCTTAATTTTAAATTTACAACTTTTAACAGTTTACAACTTTAAACTTTGCATTTATCATACCTGGTAAAGCATCTACTAGGCAGTTCCTTTGCATATCCCAACGACCAGCATCTATGAATAAACCGTGGATGTTTACTCCGTCCTCCGGAACTGTGAGCTCCCCATAAACGTTCACGCTGTCCTCCTATATAACAAAGAAAGATATAAGCATATCCTATTTCCTATCTATAATATATAAAGCTTAATTTTAATATTATAAATGTGAAAGTTTCTTTGTTTGGATGTTTGCATGTTTGGATGAATTGATGATTTTATGATTAGATGTTTGTCGGTCAATCACGCCGAAACTACTGAACGGATTTTGATGAGATTTGGTATACAGATAGGGTGTTAGCTGACTTATAATAGGATACTTTTTATCCCACTTAACATTTTCCTAGGGTCCACGCGGGCGAAGCCGCTGGCGAAAGCTAGTATACAGTAATAATTAAATGCTTGAGGCCCTTTTTTAAATATTTCTTCATTATATTGTAATCAGCATTAAGTAACTAACATCCACGATCAGTCTTTACTCATACGTCTACGCTGATTGAATAGTATCCTTCGAGATTTTAATTTAGCAAAATTGATAATCACATCTGTGTTTTCGAGCATATCACATTTTATCGACAATAGCGACAAAGTGTTAAATCTCTCAATTTTGGCTTAATTTTCGGGTGAGCCTTGAATAGCTATTAAATTAAGTAGATATGAATGTTGGTCATATGGTCATAATACCTGTGTAGTTTAATAATAAAGTAGTTATCGGTGGGGAAGAAGGAGAACTTTGTGATTAATAACAAAGTTCTAATGAGCCGCTGAGGTGGGTTGTGTGTGTTGAGCATATATTTATCTCCATTTGAATGTAAATAATAATTTTGTTAAAGGGTTTCCATATCTCAGGTTTTTTGGAGTGCTCTCAGTATTGCGGTCAGATTTTGCAAACCTCAGGATTTTTAATAAAATTTACTACATTTAAAAAGTTATACAAACTAAAAAAAATAATGTGCAACGAGTGAGCGAGATTTCCAGTGTAGAAAAAACTATATTAATTTGACTTTATGCACGTTTGAGAGAAAAATCTCAAACTGCAACAAAATCCCAGGATTTTTCAGTGCAAATAACTAAAACCCAGAGTCGTGTATGGGTTTTAGTTGGACCAGTAGTAAATTTATCTTTTCACCGTTTTTAAATAAATAAACTAAATAAATCATGCTGTGTGCAAAATAAATAAATTTTTGGCTCTCAAATGTTGACAGCTCTAAGCTGTCGCAAAATAACTGTTGGTCATAACAATAATATCGATTTCTTGTAAATCTACGTATAATCGATCAATCGACAGCGAAACTAACCTATCTTTGATTCTCGCGACATATTTCTTTACCATAGACAATATTTATATACGATGAGATCTTTTATACTACACAACGGATTTTAACGCAGTTTTTATCAATATTGAGAGTGATTCAAGAGAAAGGTTTATATGTATAAAACAGGAGGAAGCGTGCGAAATTACTGGCGGATAGCTAGTCTATTCATAATTTATCGGTTAATTTTTTATCTGGTTAAACATTGCAGGAAAATGACAAACAGATAAAAACTAACATCGCGATTTTTAAGTACAGTCAACAGCATGTCGGGTTATACAAAACTGTCAAATAACAGTTGATTTTAATCCTTGAAATGTTACTAGTAGAGTTCAAAATTAATAGAGGAGAAAAAAAAAGTTATCTAAAAATGTATATAATATACATAATGCATGTTGATTTGTGCTAGTGGAAACAATTAGATAGATATATGAAAGTATATGAACGGATACTCATGGCTAACATACTTAAGCTATTTAATACTTAGTCATAATTATAAATTTAAGCAAAAACAAAAAATAAGACTACCTTCTTCTTTTTGTTTGCCTTATAAATATCTTCTTGTGATAAAAATAACTGTATAGGATGAAAATCAAACATAAGCGCATCAATGGGTACTCGATAGCGTCGTGCGTATGATTGTAGAGAGCCGGTCAACAATCCTTGAGGAAAAAATAAGCCCGAAACCCAACTACTCGGTTGTTTGCCCTCTAAAAGCCATTTCTAAAATAGAGATACAATATTTAGTAAACTTAATTTGTCAAAGAAATTAAGATTCTTATAAAAACATTATCAATTGCGCCAGGTGCCGGGTGATGTAGTGTCAAATACACACCACTCCGCTATAATGGACGCTGATTTCACATAAACTTGACCAGTTTCGTTTTAATGACCTCATTGAAAACTAACAAAATTTGATTATTTTAACATGAAAATAAAACTTTACCTCCATAAAGTCAACTCTTAGTGTCAAGTCATGTATCCAGCTACCTAATGACTTTAAAGAATTGTAGCCTTTCTTATGCCACATAGCTGGAACTTTGTTATTAAGAAAAGCTGTGAAAACTTCTTCAAAAGCTTCCGACATGACGACAATTCCCTAAAAAATGTTTTGATGATAAAATATATACAAAGTATAATGAAAATCAAATATAGCAAAAATAAGCGTTTTCTTATAAGCTATTTATGTTAAGACAATTAAAAATGTCTGTAGTTGCAAACCTTAATAGCTTTTTGAAGCTCGTTGAGTGATGAATGAATAAGTCCGAGTAAAGTATTAAATCTGTCAGTTTCGTGCAATAATACAGTTGTTAACGAATTTAATTGTCCCATGTCGTCAAGGACCATCAGATCAGGATTTACTTGTGATTTATCGATTTTCTTAGAGACTACTACACGAGTTTGATCACAAATACGCCATACAATTTGGTCCGGAGTATCACCACCGCCACCTCCACCAGATCTTGGTTGAACATCAACTATAGTTTGAATTAACGTATTCGTTTCCTTGTTCTGTAGAAAATAATAGGAGTTAAATAGTTCTGATGGTAATATTACCGGTATTATATATTTAAATTTACTTACTTCAAATGCTATATTTGCATTCTCATGCATACCAAAAACTTCAGGGCTTTCAATAACTGGTAAAGTATCGATATATTCCCTGACAAGTTCTAATTTTTCTACTCTTGGACAGTAATATTTCCCCGAACTAGAATAAGCATAACCTTCTTCTAAAGTTGGAGGTGAAAAGAATTTTTTAAGTATAGTGGTTAAGCAACGTTGATCCCACATGTCTGTGACACGGCCACCGTAAGTTATTGAACCTGTAAATTAGCAAATATTTCAGTATATTATCTACCTAGTACCTTCTTGCTGCATCTAGGTTTCAATTATGTTTTCAGTCCTATTCAAAATCCAAGATATATAAGTAAGCTCACCCAGCGGGGAATTTTTATTATTCATTTATTTTATTACATAATATTAGGTCCTTACATATGAAATTGGTGTTTGGTACGGGAGGAACAAAAAGTCGAATATTTTTAAATATACTATATTTATTTAATCAAAGTATAAACCATTGTTATCTATGCACATTTGCCATCTCATAGGTAGTTCATTGATCCCCATATTAAAAAAACCATTCGGACGGGAATCAAAAAAATCTTTGAAGGCGATTTGCACTGCCCCATCGGAGTTGATTTTTTTCGCTTGCAAGATGTAATCCAAATTTCGAGAAAAATGGTAATCTGTTGGAGCAAGGTACGGTGGATGCCTTAGACGTTCCAATTGTAGCTCTTCTAATTTGGTAGGCGTCTGTTGTGCAGTGTGTGGTCTAGCGGTGTCGTGAGGTAGCAGTGGCGTAGAGCGGTTGACCAGCCTTGGTTGTTTAACAGCTAGTTTTTCCAGCATAGTTTGCAATTGCTGACAAGAGACGTCTGCCGTTATCGTCTGGCCAGATTTGAGAATGTAATGAATGACACCGTCACTAGTCCACCAAACGCTTACAAGTAACTTTTTAGGGGGCAAATTTCGCTTGGGGCAGGAGAATTGCAATGAGCGCTTCCTCAATTTCTCAATTATCGTAGAGAATCCACTTTTCATCACAGGCAATGATTCGATTTAAAAATTATTGTGCCGATTAAGTAATGTAACGCAGCAGTTGAAGCGCGTTTGCCGGTTTGCTTCACTCAATTCGTGAGGTACCGACCTTTCAAGCTTTTTAATCTTTCCAATTTGCTTCAAGTGGATTAAACAGTTTTATCACTAACACCGCAGCCTGTAGCTAACTCGGATGTGGTTCGCAATGGATCCGCTACCAGAATAGCCTTCAATTATTCATTATTAACTTGGGTCTACGGCCGGCCACGGGGCTTGTTCCGCAGGTAGAAATTTCCAAAATGAAAACGTTGAAACCAAAAACGCACTGTTTTCTTTTGCGATACAACCGCCATACACATCATTAACCATTCGAGCCGTTTTCGCAGCACTGGAACCACGGTGGAACTCGTACTCGTAAATAACACGATATTTCAAGTTTTCCATTTTTTATACTGGGTGACGTAAATAGGACAAACAGAAGAAAAAAAACAAATGAATGCCGCCTAACGAAACAAAAAAAAACAGTGTAAATGGCTGTATAAATTTGAATTGAGAATTCCCAACCAAGGAGGTGTAATTTGTGATTAAAGTGGCCAGTACGACAAAACGCCAATTACATATGTAACAACCTAATATTATGGACCATCAAAACTATATTAGCAGTTTGACTGTGGTGGGCTAGGAGTCTCATATTACGTTATATATATAATGCTTCTGAAGCAATAGGTATCTAATTAACTTTTAAACTATCGCGCTGAATTATTACATATTTAATATAAAAAATAATAAAGTATTTAATGTATCTAATTGATATAATAAGATAAATTTATGCATTTACGTGCACGTTACAATGTTACAGAATATCCATTTAATTTTTATTAACTCGTATAATATTTGAAGTTACTTTCATGTCTAATAGTTTCAGGTAAGCTATTTAATATATAAGGGGCTCTCTTGTTTAGAGTTCTATCTCATAATCATTGTTAACGCTGGGAACTACATATTTACCTACTGCAATTGCTCTAGTATTATGTTAATACGAGACTAAATTTTTATAATCTCCCTTACAGCTATTCTTCATTTTTTTTTATTAAAGAATACTTTAAAAAAGCGTAATTGCAAAGAACCATATATGTCGGTTGCGTACCTCAAATCGACTATAGACATATATAAACATTAAATGTATTTAAGGGAATTTTGAAACTTAACCACCAGTGACAAACCCTTTGTCATGAGATCATTTAATTATTTCGTCTACGCCATTCTGGACTAAGCGGTAGATTTTAGTGAGGTCAGTGCCAGCGTGCAACATGTATAGTTCATCAGGGAATATGTATGCGAAGGTGTAGCGAATTACATAGCAATAAGCTTTAAGTGACAGATTTAGAAATGAAAAGATCCGTAGTAGTAACTGGTTTAATTCTCTAAGCTATAACCAATAAAACTGACGTGGCTCGTTCGAACGATTGCTTGGCTGAATTGGAAGAGAACGGTCCACATAGTGAAAAGAACGAATGGCCGTTGGTTTGAAAAGGTTCTAGCATGGTGGTTGCACACCGGACGAATTCAGTAGGTTTACCCTGAGCCAAGTAGACTGTGATGCACTAATAAAGATCACGGAAAGCTACAGGGTGCGGGCGGTACAGGAACCGATCATCATGGAGATCCACGGGGGAAGTGACACCCAGTAATTAGTGTGGTAAGGCTGGAATGATGATGTTAATGATATGTAATGATTGTTAAAAATTAATTCTTACTTGTTATATACTCTAAAGCATCCCATGGTATATGAGCGTCTTCACAGAACATTTGCAAATTTAACATAGCACATTCTCTATCACTATTATTAAATTCATAAGTAATATTCCAGCCTAACGGACCAAACTTTTTACGTTCTTGTATAATCGCATGAAACATACAAATTCCAAATAGCATTGTCCGCCAGTCTTGCCCAAGTACTGCAAAAGTATAATGGAGGATTATTATAAACTTGTAACATTAAATTAATAAATGGTGACCTATATTTTATTGACCGTGATTTTCGAAGAAATCGTCCTCCATTTCAATAAGAGCTCGTTTAACATTTGCTTTTAATCCCTTAGGTGGTTCATTTGTTACTTTAACAGAATTCTGTAAGACAGATACTGGAAACTTGGGCGTAGGCATGGAACTCAAAAATAGTCTAAAATCTGGATGCGGAGTTCCATGTTCACTCGACAGATTTGCTACTATCAATTCTAAACTCAGCATCCACGATGCAGCTAAATGGCAATTCTAAAACAGAAATATTAATGTTATAGTGTTTTTAAAATAACCTTCGCATATGGTAAAAAAGCAAATATAGTTTTAAGGGTATACATCTGATGTAAAATGAATATTTTAAGTATGCATTAAGCACGCGACGAATCATCAGCTCAGTAAATGTGAAAACTTGATTGTTCCGCAACCGACGATAGGCAACACATCTTCCATCAGACGCGTACCCCTTATGAGTGTTCATACCTGTAAGAATATCCAGTCTCCTTTTGGTTTTGCATTGTTAATCATCTTTTCAGCAACTGGTCCTTGTCCTTGGCCCAGCGAAATAGAATTAAGACGTTCACGGTAACCCATTTCAGTAGCGAATTTCTGAAAAGCTCCAAATGGATCTGAACCAGTGCTTAGAACAAATACCAATGGTATATTTGATGCTGTATCCGCATATCTGAAAAGTTATGTTACTGATGCTTATTTATATTCTTATGTGTCAAGGTTCGGGATAAAAATCAACGCAAATTAAATTCACAATCCGACTTTATTTACTTAATAAAATTACAAGAATAATTCAACAACAAAATCCACACTTCTGCGACTTCACAATTCGCGTCACTGCTCTCGCCTAACAACACTTGACTAGTTTTCGCTTTGAGTTTCGCTTCTGACCGCTCTTGTAGTCAGTTTACTGGTCATTGAAAGAATGCTGAGACGGGTAGTCCACCGCGCATTTATAGGGGCCGATACCCAATTTATCGGGCACGAATTATTGGCATCCAGTTAAGGCGGTTGGCGTCGTTGTGATTACACTGCACTAGATCGCCTGCCTAACCCAGTTGGCATCCAAACGCAGTGTTAAAAGGATGGCTCCTGCACTCACAAAGTACCAAAAAATTGGCATAGCCCTTACTTTAACTGCAGGCGTAAATCATTTAACTAAAAAAAATATATTATGTGAAAAAATATTTGCTTCTAAGTGACAAACTGGGAGTTTGTTAGAAACAAATGATTTCAGAAACTACGTTAGCGGTAACCTTAAGATTTTTACAACAGGAAATGTATATCAAAAGTATGACTCATTGATATCAGAACCCCTGCTATCAAAAAATTATACCAGAGACATGCAGGGTTATCTATAAAATGTTTAAAACATTATATAAAGGTAAGAAAAAGAAATAATATTTAATAACATTTAATTAAAATAAAGAAATAACATTTAATATTAATTCTTTTGGGAAGACTTTTTCTCTGTTCGCAATTTTCATTGTCGTTCACTGACGTCTCACACGCACGCTGCGCAACAAATGACTGAGCATTATTGTTCTGTGGACTGAGCGCTCTGACACCCTAACAGCGATCACATTGCCCGAAAAATCGGCCCTAACACACTAACTAGTGAGCACATGGTGGGCACGCACTCACGACTTCCCTATTACAGTGTACCCGATGGATATTGCCCGATAAATTTGGTAGTGAAATCGATTCCATAGAACTTAAATAAAACATTCAAGGTTGGCCTCCACCCTAACGGTGTATTCGAGGCATTACCAAAAATTTCTAGCCACAGAACACAGAAAGACGTTAGAAGGGCATTGTGGGCGTGGTAGCGTAGCCACGATCCTGGGCAAATGTACAGGATCATGACTTTACCACGCGATCGCGATGTTTAGTCATTTACAAACGCGCGCGCTGTAAGTACTGTGAAACTCGCCACTAAAAGTGTTAAAAATGCTGGCTTGCGCGATAATTAATTGCATAACAAGGAGCCAAGGTCCAAAGACGGAATTTCTTTCCGTAAGTAGAACACTTCTCAAATTTAGTATTTTTAGTCAAAATCCGTGAAATCTTATCAAAAGTGTGAATCACTAAAAATATTTCCAAGAAAATATACATTGCTGGAGAAGTACGCATATTGTTACATCGCGACGTACTAAGCACGTAATGTAAAGAACATTGCGAAACATCGTTCCAAATCGTAACATAATAGCACAGTGTAATAATAGATTACGGTAGATCGCTAGTGAAGTGCCATAAGAACATTTAATCGATTTAAATCGTCAGAATCCGTTCGGGGTAAGTTCCAATAGCATTTATTGAATTAACTGTATTCTTTTTGTTTTGTATATATTTATTAACATTATATTGTTTGTCAATTACTAGTTTCATTTAAGCAATGTTGCCGATCTTATCTGTTTACTTGATGCGAAATGGAGTAACGTAATGTAAAAAAATTACTTACTATTATTATTTATTAATAAATCAACAAATACATATGCAAATAAATATTTAAGCACGACTAGTACTGATTCAATGTTAGTTCATTATTAGCAAGTGATTTAAATATTTCTTACTGAATCAACCAACTAATTAACAAGCATAAAAAACATGCCTTTTTTTTAATATTAATACCTAAAGAAAACAGACAATATTACATTTTATCAATACAATTCAATGTTTATCCAAAATTATATAAAGAAATTTTATCAGGATCCTTCCAATTAATTGTCTTGTTGCTTTTCCAATATCGATATTAAATCACTTTATGTCAATCCCCAGTGTAATATGTCAAATTAATTAAATGAATGGCAAAACATGCGGATATTTTTCTGCTGTTGTTCACATATCCGTGCAATAATAATGAACCTCAACACTAACGTCTTTAATTTATGGTCAGTAGTGTAATAAGTAGAGATCGACGTTGAAACGAAAAGCGCTTAATTAAGCATGCTTTTCTAAACAGCTAGTAAATTGGAAATTATCAATGATATCTATAATATTTTTTTAACTTGATAAAGGGAGAATTTGACAAAACATTTAAACTCAAAACAATTAACTTTACTAACCAAATGAAGATATTTAGTGATTGGGCTACACTTGGCATCTACAAAAGTCGATATGGCTGTATGATTTGTATGGAATAAAGTGTACCTCGACTGATCCATAGTTTATTGAATATGTCAGTATGTGTTTCAGCAAAAGCAAAATATATATCTGAAAAAATTTACAATTCAGAAACTAAAAACAACCTGGACTATCATAAGTCAAGAGACGGGGAAAAATAAATGTAATATGCGTACATACTCATTAGAGGTCGACAATAAAGTTATTAAAAAGGATGAAGCGGTTGCCGATACATTTGAGAAATTCTTTTCTAAGACACCAATAGAAAACACAAGAAATCTTAGTTCATGTTCTAGACTTGCGGTTACTTTTCTAGAGTCAGTTGTTGATAAGTGCAATACTGAATTTCATTGTAGACATGTTAACGACAACTCAATTATTAAAACATTTAATTCCATTAATAACAAAAATAACTTTTTAATAAGTTCATTGATGAAAGAACTTTTCCTGATTTGAAATATGATAAAATAATCCTACTTTTCAAGGCAAGCTACAAGTCTGATCCTAGTAATTTCAGACCTATATCTATACTACCAGCGCTAAGTAAAGTATTTGAGAAAATAATTTATAATCAACTGCTTGCAGCCTTTTTGTTAAATAAATTACTTCACAAAAATCAGTTTGGGTTTAGCAGAGGTATATGTACCACAGGAGCTGGAATTGCACTTTTAAAGACATATCTATGATGCTTGAGAGAATAATTTTTTGCAATTTGTCAAAAGCATTCGACTGCGTTAGTCATGAAACACTTTTGGGGAAATTAGAGCATCATGGAGTGACGAAAACTTCACTTAATCAAAAGTCATATGTCATAGAGTATGCTAATGCTTATTATATGTCCCGCCAACTATCAAGTTATAATGTTACTACTAGCTTCAATCAATTTTTCTATGTTGGCATTTTTGCAGGAGGCAGTACTTTACATAAATGTACTGTATTATACATCTAGACTAGCTATATCTAGCGCAATATCCATCTAGACTTTTTTGCAACAACTTTTTTGGTTGGATAATCCAGATGCTTTTTTAAACGGAACTTACAAAAAACAATGCGCTTTTCGTTGTCCGAGTAGGCGCGCGTTGTGTTGAAAGTTAATTCATTGCGAAAATTTAAAGCTAAAATTTATTATTATGATTCCAGACAGACAGTACAAAGAATAGATGTTATCAATATTTTATTTACTTACAACAATTTCGTTTTATTTGGATTTGTAGCTTGTTAGTTTTGAAAAATGATTTATTATTATAATTTTATTTATTTGAATCAAAGCAAGTTAGTTCATAAAGAACTACAACACATTGTTGCACGCTTATTATAACGATTTCCAAACGTCAGATGAAAAAAGCGTTTAAACGATAAGCCGTTTTTAAAAACGCTTATTAAAAATCATACAACGTAATAACGCTTAAAAATTTCAAGCCGTTATTTTCACCTCTAGTAATAAGTATTCGGAATATCGTATGTAAACTGACTGAATCGATTTGCTTCGGTAGCGTTATTACTTTTAACAACAACTATTAAAATCGCATACATCACTAGGTCATTAAAAAGGCTGTATTTGTTTAGTGACCGATCGAGTAATTCTGTTCCCTAAATTTTAGTCTACTCGAGGCAGTGCAAGGTGTTGTTTGTGCGTTAGGTCTGTATTGAGTGACTAGTAAATATTTGCTATCGAGTGCAGCAGCAGCAGCTGCCAGGTCAGCTTTTGTCGTATTCATTCATCACATTAAATTTTAACAAAATAAAATAAAATAATCTTGAGTTAACGTAATTGTAACAGGTTGGCTTGCCGTTCACGTAAAACAAAATCATCACGAAATCGCAAAAGAATGACGTCAGATGACCCTTTATTTCCTTCTACATTTACCCTCAATAATGGTGTTCAAATGCCATCAGTTGGACGTGAGTAATTTGTTTATTGAAGATTACACTACTCTACAAATAAAAAGTTTAAAATCGGCAACTGACATAGTTATAGTTTCTTAAGTTTGAATTACAAAGTGAAATATATCCATCACATATAAATTTTGAGTTATATCATAATAAATTTAAAAAAAAATGTACGAAAAACGCATATTATACCAATGCAATTTGAAAAAAAAAAGTTTTTTTTAATTTATGATATTTATATTTGAGATAATGATAGGCTCGAGTTACTGTTTTGTAGATTTGTACTTGAGTGATTGAATGTTAAAATAATACCTTACATCCTATTTCTGTAAAACTTCATAGATTTGTCTGAAACTTTGAAATTAAGCTTGCCTTACCCTTCACTTCGAACTTGGCTTTAACGCAAATTGTGCTTTTTGTTTTTAAGGGGTTAATCTTATAATTTAACAAGTTAAAAATAATATATTAAACCAGTGAAAAGGCATGTAATGTTAAATATGTATTATTTATATAATAAAATTAAATATACAATATAATTTATAGAATGAAAGCTTCAAAACTTTAGAAATTTGGGTGTTCCATAAATTTATAACAGTATTTCTCAAAAAAATGATTTGGTTTTTTTGTGATAATTCAGCCCCTTTTTAAACTATTTCATTAATTCAAATATGGTTTTGTAGTTGTAGTGAATTTAATAAGCTATAATAAATATTGTGAATCATAAAATTCACAAATGAAATATATACATGACATCTCATTCAATTTTTCAGCTATTAGCTTGATACAAATACCAACTTTCAGTATGGAGATCAAACAGCAGTTTTTTTTATATTATGAGGGTATCATATATTTCCTTTTTAATATATGATTAAATCCATTTTCTTTCGGATTATTAGTAAAAAAAATAAAATTCCTTTAATTTCTTAATGGCATCAATGGCAAAATACATATAAAACGACTTCTATGTAGTTTCCCGCTGTTACTTATATAACTTCCATTAAATATATAAATTTTCCTAATATTTGGAAACTCATATTTTTATAAAAACACGGACAATAAATATTTGTAAAAATAATCAATAATATTAACAATGAAAAACAACTTCAATCAATATTACTATATTGCGTTAAGTATATTTTGTTTTGAATCCAATGAAAATTTCCATGGGAATATTACATACCCTTATAATTATTTTTGAAGCAAAAATATAATACAAAATATATGCAGCAGACTTTTGAGTTAAACACATATTCTACTAAATATCATTAAAATCCACTCAGAAATACTTGAAATAAAAGTTTTATCAAAGTAAACTACTACAAAACAAAAAGTAAAAAATATTGTTTAATAAAAATTACTATTTCCTATAAATTTTTTAGTTGGAGTTCAGTAATTTTCATTTTCCCTATGGTAAATAAAAGCAAAATGAAGGTTTTTTGACTTGATTTTTTTTTATACCTTCCGTAGCTAAAATGAGAGGGATTCTTAAATATAGTCTCTTGTAATTGACTCATAAACTTGATTAAAAATATTCCAGGCTTATATCAAATTATTTCCAATTTTCTCGTATTTGTATCAGGCTATATATAAATTAAAGGATAGTCAAAATGTTCATCAAAAATAAACTGCTTTTTTGTTTCAAACAGTTTTTTTGTAAATGCATCACTCTTTGTGTTATTTTGAAAAGATCATAGATTTATATTTAAAAAGAATTTCCTTTGTAACAATTTTTTTCAAAGTATAGGACTCCACTGAAACTTTCGGGATGTATAGCTGTATCCCAGGAAGGAAAAGGAAGTTGTCTTTATGGTTTATGATTAACTTTATATCTTACCTCGTTTAATTTATTATTAATATTTTATTGTTTAATATTAATCAAACATTGTGATTTTGCAGAATAAAATAAAGTATATGTATGATACTGTAAATTTTATGAATTAGATGTATATATTTATTTTTTATGATGCCAAACTGTCAACAAAGTTATACTCTCGTAAATAAATAATGTACCAATATGAATTTAACATTTACTATTAAAATAATAATATGAAATGTCTATGGTTAAACAGATTCTTTATCTATTCCTGTGCCAAAGTTTGTGATAAATTTTTTGTCTCTTCCATGCGACATCGTCACATCATAATTTCATAAAATATTGTGTATACCTATATCTGAACACAACTGAGCATAAACTAAAATGTTATACGCCATCTTAAATCAATTGCCAGCTGTTATTGGTGTTGCAACCCCTTTGAGAAAGTCTTATTTGAGTTTTTTGTTTCACTATCCATATAGCACAAGTGGTCACAAATGTGTTGATTATCAACGGTATGTACATTTGAATTATGCCCGTTGGTTTTGGTGATTTTGTGCATTAATTTGTCAAAAACACTATGGTTATGTTTATAAGAATTTAATAAGAAAAAAATCACTTCCATGATTTTCTCATTGACGCATGGATGTGGCAAATTATTATTTATTTTGTTGTGGGTTTTGTGGGGTTTTCTATATTATTTGTTTATTTATTTTTAGATGTCCGAAACCAAAAAAAACAATAACAAAGAAGAAATGTTGGTAGCTGTAATATTCTTGTCTAAGAGAACTGGAAATCATTTTGTTGATCAAGTTTTGGATTTAAAGGCAAAGAACCGAAAGTAAAATTTACAGAAATGATATTTGGTAAATTGTTTAGTCGCCTTTTGCATGGAACCTGATGACTTACTTCTTGTTCCACATGAAGATATAAAAGCAATTTTTTCAGAACTTACACCTAGTAGGCATGGAGAATTACCAGTTCCTAATGAAAAAAACTATAAATAGAAAAATATTCTTTAGGGTGCTTTAGATTAGGGTGCATTTACACACTTTTATTGGTTCTTTTTTCATGAAATATTAGTTGTCTTACTCCTAACCCAACTCTGCCCATATGCACAGAAGCTTTAAGGGTATTCACAGGCTTTCAAAGTGTTGATGGATTGCCTAGAGTGAGTACCCGGTATACTTTCTTTTTATCTGATAGAAATTTATTGACAACATTTTTTTGCTTTTAACTAGTACTTTCACTACGATATCAAAACGATATGGCTCAAAGAAATCTACTATAAATCGTATACTGGTTTAATTTTTATAGCTTAAAAATAAACAAGATTATTACTTTTGAAAAGAGTCGTCACAAAGACTTTTTTCAAATAGTCCCTTAATTAACTAAGATACAGAGTTTATACTCACGTCAATCAACTACTATTACTACCTTCTACACAACAGTATAACGTAGGTCACTATATATGTCCTGTCGGGGGCAGTTTCATTATGGAAGTACGGATATACCCCTTTTGACTTATTAATGAAAATTTGACATTTTCAATCGCGAATAACTTGGAAACGATTAGGTTAGCGGAAACCTTTGTTCTATATTTTATGTTAAAAATAAGTTTATTTTTCGATTACTGGGGTTAATTTTAATTTTTGAATTTTCACCCCCGAGATTGAGTGTCATTCACCCCCATGGTAAAAGCGAATGCACGAGGTCAGGTTTGTAATTTATCTCAATTTAGAGTTTGTATTCTGCATTACTTTCCCTTATTAAGAAACAACATTAATCCCTCATCATTGCAGTGTTCCAGTGACATTGATAGCTCTGTTTCATTGTTAATTATCTTGGAGAAATCCTCTACCTGGTCATCACTAATGGAACCAGATTTTGTGGAAAAAAACAAATGATTATTAAATGTAAAACTTTTAATGATTTCCAGAAGAAATTGAACAAGGTTTAGTTTCTCTTCAGACTGCGTTCTTCAGTTTTTTTCGGATTTTAAGGACCAATGTAAATTCCTTCTTTAGGCTTGGCATTAGTTAACTTTTTGTCACGCAAAAGTAGAAATCGGTGCTATGGTTTGTCGACACTCACCAAATCATCGCAATAGCAAACGGCATTGATGATTTGTTTCATAAAGCCAGTTATCTAGGTTTGACATACAAGTCTGCTAGAAAATATGGGGAGTCCAATTCCTATCTAAATTCACTATAGGAAACCAAAATACTTAAGATAAGCTAATTTAGTCACACTAGTTAGTGTTCTAGCCTGCAACTTAGGTTTATACGAGCCAAAAACACGAGTCCATTGAGGTCTTACAAGCATTTTTATTGCTTCAAATCTTGAATTAATCAAACAACAAAGATAACAAACTAGACACGTGATTTTTTTTTATATACATCGGACTAACATGTAATTTAAATTATATATCGATTCAATCCAGACAGAACAGGAAAATTGCCCAGGAAAACTTCATTGAAAAAATAAGTTACAAAATCTCAAAAACTTTACGTGATACGGAATTTTTAAACTTCAACTGATATTAAAATCACATTAACTAATATATTAAAAACATATATAGCTACTCAGTTGCATTTTGGCTGTAGACTAGTGTAATTATAAGTTAGCATGATTAATGTTGATGCTGAACAACTGACCATGTCTACATGTATGTCTCTTATGATCTGATCAGTAAATATCATTGAAAAAGAAATTGTTTACTCCTGACGTAAAAATACTGTCAATTACGAGTAAGCCCATTTTCAATAAATATATTTATCATGTATTTCAATTTTTATTTTATCTAGTTGGGACCTATCGCATTCGCAATGGAGAACTTCTGAAAAATGTAGTGGATTATGCTTTAGATGCTGGCTATAGGATGTTCGGTGAGCGTTACAGTTAGTAAGGTGCTTTGGAGTATAACGCGGGGAAATTCCGAAAATGACATTAAACAAGCAATATGTTTGTTCTATCCCATTTAAAGTATTTTCGTCTATTAAGAAAAAGTTTGTCAACATTATCTTTTTTAACAGTTCATAAAAACAATTTCTGATTTCGTCATTTTCGGAATATCCCTAAAGCACTATATTAATATTATAATGATAATGAATTTAATGAAGATTTATTAATTTATATTCCATTTTAGATACTGCTGCTGTTTATGGAAATGAAATTCATTTGAAAAATGCTCTTGATCATTTATTACCAAAACATGGTTTAACAAGAGAGGAAATTTTCATAACTACCAAACTTTGTAAGTATATATTCGTATAAGAGTAATGAAAAAGGTTTGTTATGAATGACTATTAAAAACATTACTATTATTACAGCACCAGCAGATCATGGAAATGCAGATGTAGTAGCTAATGCTTATAGACGATCTTTGGATAATCTTGGACTGGATTATATTGATTTATATTTAGTTCACTTTCCGGGCTCAGCCAAAATACCTGCTGAAGACTTCAGAAATACAAAACTAAGAGATGCTACTTGGGCTGGTATGACTAAACTGTATGATGATGGTTTAGTAAATACAATAGGGGTGTCCAATTTCACCATCCGTCATCTTAAAGATATAATGAATAGCAACCATGGTGTAATTCCTGCTGTTAACCAGGTTCACATGTTGCTTATGTATTATTGATCAGTTAATATTCCTTTGCATTCAAATGTTTACTGTTAAATCAATTTATGTTTTAGGTTGAATGGCATCCATATTATCATCAAAATGATCTTCTCAAGTTTTGTAAAGAAAATGATATTCTTTTAGAAGCATATTGCTCACTTGGTGGTACATCTGCATCAAACAATGATTTACTCCTAGATCCTGTCGTGAAGAAAATTGCAAAGAAACATGAAGCAACATGTGCTCAAGTACTTCTAGTTTGGTCTCTCCAGCAGGACATAGCCATTATACCAAAATCAACAGATCCAAATCGCATCAAAGAAAATATAACATATAATTTCAAGCTTACAAATGAAGAAATGAAAGCTTTAGATGGTTTAGGAGAACGCAACATAAAATATGCATGGGATCCTAATATAGTAGCATAATTTTGCTCCAGTTACATCACCAGTGGGCTCAATCACCATAGTGGTAAGAATAGACCAAAAGAATAAAAACTGGCTAATTTCTTTAATATATAGATGTCCTAAAAATATCCAGCTGACCTCCTTATAAATAATCAGTAAACTTTTAAGCATGAACAATACTTCAAGGTTTATGTAAAAACTCAGTAAACATATTGAAGAAATTCATGCCTTGTCTATGAAAAAATAAAACTATCCTGATTATTTATGAATAAGAGGTTTTGATGTGTAAAAATTTCAATGTTGTGTGCATGCATATAATGTGATAGATATCTGTTTTTAAACATTCCAAGTTACTATATCTCTCACTGCTAATAAATACAACTATTAGTGGTGTTAAAATGTACCCCAATTAAATATAAGAGATTGGATAATGTTGATGGCTCATAATATACCAAAAATGAGAGTTTTTAGTGTCCAAACTAATGTTAGAGATTAATTGGCCTATTGGATCAGGGTAAATGATATAACCAAAATTATTTTCTCTAAATTTATGTACCAAAAGCGCTTTATTCTGAGATATTTTTATGAAAAATTACCATTTTGCCTTTATGCGAACGAATAATGTCTGCGAATTTTAAAAGTAACCTAATTTTAATTGTTATATTTGGCCTGGGAATATTTATTATGAATGATGGTTGAAATTATCTATTGATTACGACAACCTGTCTAATATATTAACAATTTTGCAATTGCATATCTTTTACTTTAGGTGTCAAAAGGCGTAAACGCCATATTACCTATAAAATTATTTTATTTTTAAATTTAGTCAGATGGTGGCTATGCTCTTTTAGGTTTGATAAGGTGATTTAAGGTTTAAATTACTGTATGACCAAAACGAGTTTACACCTTTTGAGTCCTAAGATGTATAATTACTGGAGAATCTGTCCTGAAATGCTACATTTGCGTGTTTAAAATTAGACTAGATAGAATTATTGTTCAATTGTGGAATAATGTTAGTAAATAAGTGATTTAATTATTAAAATGAAATATAATGTAAATCTTACCTGTGTTATTATATTTACGATTTATTAAATCAGTTCCGCCTCTAGACTACTCAAAATATAGTTTGTGGAAACTGTCCATGGAAAATTAGTGTATTAAGTACTATTCACTTTGAGTTACAGTTAAAGGTATATGATACCTATTTTAATTTTATATTTTTAAGTAAATTTTAAAATGCTGTAACAGTAAAATTTTTGTTTGTACAGATACCGGCAAACATCTTGACGCTCTTCCGAAGGAGTATTTGGAACCAAATTAAATTTAATTTTACGCGTTGTATTTTATGTATTAAGTGTTTGTATTTTACTTCAATGCTGAGCCCTCATTAAAATTATGAAATTAATTTATCTTTAGTTCATTTTATTTTATATTTCAATGATTAATGTTACTAAATAAAATAGGTATTTAGTTTTAAAACAACATAAATAAGTAATTATATTATGTCTAATATGTAATTTCAACCTTTATGTATAATGTAACATTAATCTGCGTAAGTAACTAAATAAATATTTCTTTTTAAGTTCTTAAAAAAATAGACAAAGTGACATGTAAATCCAGAAAAATAATAATTACAATAATCATCTCGAGGACAATAATAATTGATTAGACAAAACCATACGAATTTCCTTAAATTATTCTAAACCGAGAATTCAGGATATTTGCCGGCTGCTGTAAATCTAGACCCAAGTGGTCTATTTTATCATAAAAAAAATATTATCATAAGTGTGCTCTTCTGTACTTTTAAATAAATATGCTCATGTTATACTTTTTTTTATGTAAAAATTAAAGTTTAGTTTATAATGTAGTCTCTTATTATCAGCCTTTACACAATTTCAAAGCTGGCGATTTATGGGATCATGTGAATTGTCATACTTAGAGCTTACCCACTATAACAGATCTGTATAAAAGTGATTAAGTTAAATGTTTAAAAATGATATGAAATGCAACGTGTAAGTATGTCACACAAACAGGGCAGAAGGTCGCATTATAGATACCAAGGTAAGCTTGGTTTCGCTCTTTCGTAATATTGATATCTTATAGGTATATTTAATATTGAGACATTATTTCATTTGAGTTAATAAAAGAGAGAAATTTAATTTACTTACAGAGTATTTAACTGCACTGTAGGGCTTTCTATGAATACTGCCCCAAGGCTAACACTAACGTATTGAGCGATGGCGAATACTAATTTCTCTTCTTTAATACTTTTGATCATCATTAACTTTTCAAATATTGTCAATTTCGAGTCCCAGTCGATTTTTGGTGGAGATTTTTGACTTTTATCCACGTGTATTTCCTGAAAAATTATTACTGATGATACGACTACCTATAACATGTTTTGCATATGTCTTATAGATATCAAAATTGAAGTAACTAATAATTGCTTGCTAAATATAGGTGTTTCATTTTAGATAAAAAATCGAAATGTAAAACAAGTATACAAGTAAGCAATAAGTTAGTAGTTATTGCTTATTATTTTAATACAAGTATTTATTACTTATTTATTTTATCAGATTTTAAACTAAGTTACATTTTACTTGAGGTCATGGATGCGGAAGTAACTGGGCCACAAACGAATGATCGCGTTCCGCTTTTAGCAAATCGACCTTTTAAACAAGTTCTATTAAAAAAAATATAAACTTCATTTCACTTCTGGCTTCCACGGTCATAGAACATATTAAACTGCGTTCAAACTAAACGTAAAGTCAGACGCTGACTTTGTGGCAGTGTGTTCCTGAAACTAAGTATATGTTATACCAAATGTATCTTCGTTATATGGTAAAGTCTTGTCGGTTCGGTGAGAACGAAAAAAATATTATGTATAGAAGGATAGGAAATTGCGTAAAGCTGACTCGTAGTTGGCGGTTGACGGTTAGTTGGTTTGAACGCAGCCTAAACCGTGTTTTTCATCTGCAATAATCTCAAAACACGTACTGTAGCGTACATAACGGTAGATGTTAGTCTGTTTATGCACACGATAAGTCAAGCTAGGTAGGACTCTAACTACCTACATATATAACGTAGTGTCGATTCGGTGTGAATAAAAAGATTATTATGTACGGAAATGCAATAAATCGCGTAGTGCTCGCTGATTATACTTTTGGTATGAATATAAGCTAATAACGTATTATTTCAAGGAATACCTATAGACATTTTAATTCAATTTAAGACGACAGCAACAAAATGGAATGAAAAATATACAGGTCCTAATTAAATCTAAGTAAATAATCGACTTTCAGCCTGATGGACATCTAAACGCACCACGCTAAATGAGCCAACTTTAATTGGTATTTTCTTAAGGCAGTCATCAGCTAAATGTGCAAAACTTTCGTCTGTCTCCTGTAGGTGATGCACCGATAACCACATCTGATCAGTCAGCGTCTCCACCATCGGCTTCTTAGGCGGTACCTGGAGCAAAAAGTCCGATATTTTAATTACCATATTAGTGTCTTGTATAAAACAAAATTATAAAAAAAGATCGTTTGATAAAATAAGCCATTCTACTCTGCTTATATCTATGGTCATAAGAAGTACAAGTCTTTTCACTGCAGTGGCCTGTGGCTCTTATGTAGGTAATCTTTCTGTCATTAGAGAACATTTTACTAATTTAATGTCTATCTGATCAAAAACACCCGCTTGGTTTATTATACAGTACCTATAGCAAAATATCCGCTCGACGGAGCATTTCGGACACTTCCATGGACCTAAAAAGTTCAGAGTTAAGAGCCACTGATCTACCGGGAGATGAGGAGTTAGATGGCGCAGTGATTACCGCTCTAGGTCTGCAGTACGGTTAGATAAGTAACTTTGCAAGGGCCGGTCATAGAATGGATGACCAATAAATTATTATGGCGAGCTTTTCCGTTTGTTGGAAATCACGTTAAGCAGCTGGTCCGGGCTGCATTTACAGTCGTAGATTTTCCCTATTTGATTTGATTCGAATCCATCCATGAGGTCAGATCTTCCTGGAGCCCAGCACTGGAGGAGACATTAAAAGGTTGGTGACGATGACGGGGTGCGGGAGATGGTGAAGCGGTGGCCGAACGCATGCAACGTACAACAGGGATGATGATTGGGTAAAAAAAGAAAATTTATTTAGTACTAGCTGTGCCCGCGACTTCGTCTGCGTGGGAAGTATTTTGGTAGAATTCTTTTTTTCCTATGAATGCAGACGAATCGAATAAGATCAATGGGCCATAACCCACTACGCGGGCTTAATGCGTATCGGTGGGTGTTAACGTTGCTGATGCAGCCAGGACTAACGCCTTAACGTGCATTATGCCAGTGTTATGCACAGTGCTCAAGATAATAATGTTTTGGTCACCCATCCTGTAAACGGTCCTTACGAATGTTATTTTTCAATTTTTTTCTCGTTTCTCGCGCTCTGATTGTTGCTTGTGTCTGAGCATTTTATTCTTTAAACGGTCCTTCTTTTATTTCGATCTTTTTAGATTATTATTACTTGTCTAGTTGTATGCACAATCGGTTATTTATTGTTCTATATTTCATGTAATGCTAGTTTGCCTGGAAGAAATCGCCGGCTAGCGATGAGTTTGTCGTTTGCACTTATTTATGTAAAATAAGTATTCATGTATGTCCTTGTTGTGCAGTATTTACTTTCTTATTTAACTGCAATTTAAACCGAATGCGCTAACCCACTACGCCATCGGACCCCTTATGCCTAAGCTATACTAATATTATAAAGAGGAAAGATTTGGTTGTTTGTTTGTTTGTATCGAATTTGCTCCAATACTACTGGACCGATAGTTGCAGAGCGATTCCGACCTACGGGAAGCTACATCAGACGCAGATGTCATAGGCTATAATTTAGCGGCAAAATTGTGGGAAAATAGCTAGTTCATTATACCCTGTGAAAACTTATCTGCGGTACGCCTGTGGAGTATGAAGTCAACACGGGTTGGCGATAATCGAATCTACTTTCTCGATCTCTATTGTGCAAACTGCGAGCTCTTTAAGAGACCAAGCGCATTTCCCCATCAAAAGAAGTTTCATACTCATACCATACTGCATGTATGTAAATGCTTCAGATTCAACTTTATAGTGCATGAGCCTCGCGATGGGCAGTTAAATACGCTTCGCGTTTTTCAGGTGTCTCCCGAGACCGAGCGCTTTCTGTCTGATCTCTTTCTTTGTCTATAAAAGTCGGTCAGTACATGTCTGACGGAAGATACGTGGAGTTTTATTTATTGATATAAAAAAAAATATATACATATTTTAATTTCGACTTTCCACACTCGAAGGAAATCGTCTACTAACATACTTCCGTGAGGTGCTTAACTGAGTTTCTGTCAGATTTGAACGGCCCTCATCATCATCATCATCAGCCCTTTTATGTCACCAACTGCAGGAGCTCAGGCCTTCCTTATGGATGGTTAAAGAGGATGGGCCACGACCCTCCATGCTGACCCAATGTGGATTGGAGGATATTAACGACTACAAATACAACCTGGACCAATCGCTTTACGTGCTTTCCGAAGCTTGAAGTTGCTTGAGATAATATTTTTTGGTCATCCATCCTGTGCCCGACCTTTGCGAAAGTTGCTTAACAACTACAATCGCGGGCCATGGCGCTTATTCACTACGCCACCGAGCTACTCTGAACCGACCCACAGACTCGCGTAATATTATATGAGTGTTGTGAATAAAGCATTGTTTCCAGCGAAGACTGAAAATACCAACTTTGAAGTGCGTATCTACAGCAATTTGTATGTTAAAAAAAAAACAAAAAGAGTATTAACATAAAAAATAGCAATAAGAGAAAAAAAAATATAACTCGAGTTGTCTTTACGTCCTTAACTTCAGTTGACGTGAATATAAGTTTTTTAACGTCGTGGAAAAACTTCTGACATTGTCTCTGTTAGGTGCCAGGTGGCAAACAACAGGGGTGAGTAGGATTCTCCTCCGTGAACCCGACAGTGAGCTGCCCGGTGGGTCCCCAAAGGCCTACCCATCAAAACCCGTACTCTACACCTTCTCATGGGAAATGAAAACCGGCAAGCTATGGCCGAGTCACCAGGACACTCATGTATTGGACCATTGGTCCCCTTGCAGATGGAAAATTGGAGAGACTCGGGTAAATCGAGTGCCTCTCCCAAACAGACGAAACCGTGCAATGCGGGAGCGGCTGCCAATCACCTCCGCTGGCCCCGACGACGACGTGAACCTAATCTGATAAAAATATGCGTTCACTGTAAACTACTCGAGGCTTAATTGTATCATCGGAAGGCTCTTTCCGCATGTTCTCCTACTCGCGTGATCATATACCACATGTCCATTTTAAGCTGATCCCTATTTAATACGATTGGCCATATATAAATGAGGTCAACTTACATCGGATTATAAAATTTTGGAATCATATTTTTTTATTTGTCATCATACAAATTATCATTTCATAGACAATATTAATTAGTAGCTCGGTGGCTCTACGGATATGCGCCGCTGCGCACGATCGCTATTGCAAAGCAATTTTCGAAAGAGTTGTTCACGGGATGGGTGACCAAAAATTATTAAACAAATGCCTGAGGCCCTGCAGTTTGGCTGTGAAAGAGTTAATGATGATGATCAATATATCAAAGACGAAAATTTAATAAATCAGTAAAGATTTCATAGCAATTTTGGCGACCACGTCACTTCAAATTGACATTACTTTTGTATTTGTGAACCGATTGAAATAATTCTTACACTAAATGTTAACGGAAGAATGCCGCAATATAATAGTGAAAACTGTATTTAAATCGGTTCAGCCGTTTCTGAGATTATCGTGCACAAACGCACAGA